AGTCTTCAGTGTCACACGATCCTTCAGAAATCATTCTAATATGCGGATTTGATACTCAAGAAACATTTCTTATTATCATCGATATTGAAATAGTTGTGCTGCTTAATATTTTTGTAAAAACCAGGATACATTTTTTCAGGATTCTTTGATTAATATAAAGTTCAAAAAAACACATTTTATTTAAAACCAAAATCTTAGCACTATAAAGTCACTTGGTCAATTTAATGCACCCTTGCTGAATAAAATAATTAATTTATTTCACAAAATAAAAGTTTTACTGACCCAGACTTTTGAACGGTAGTGTAATTTCCAAACTGTACCAAAATTCTGCACCAAAATCTCTACTGTAAAGCACCAATGTGGGTAAGCAAAATAAACTTACTTAATTAAAACTTACATAAGAACTTTGATTCATAGAAACAGAATGGGATGTATAACTTTAATCTGCAGAGCTTTCTGTGGAGATTTGCATATGCATATTCAGTGTGGGCCTGCCAATAACCCGTGTTTCTCACTGGAAGAAACATAAACTTTCTCTTGGAAGAAAAAAAGCCTTCAGCATCAAACAGTTGGCAGCGATCACGGATCAGACAGCTTAACAGGGTAACTAACAAAATGGTCAGTTAATTAGCCCTGTTTGATTGACCGCAAATCTCCTTCTTTCATATCTGAGTCACTGCAGGTTCTTAAGCTCCATCAGCTGATAGTTTTACTGGCGTTTGGGCATGCCATGAAGCTCACATACAAGATCAAATACAGTAGGATCTGGTTCAGAAGATGATCACCAACAGCCTCGGAATGTGAAGGCTGAAGGGTTATGCACTGGTGTACATTTCTTCTAAAGCATTCTGTGTACAGTGATGCATTCAAAAATGAACTGATAATGGAGAAAAATGTGCTAAACTGGGAGTCTGGGGAATGAAACACATTTGTTATGAGGGACGCAGTCGTGAAAAAATGTAACCATTCATTTCCCCCTCTCACTATCTCTAGATAATGATAAATACACTGGATATGTTCACAACAGCATTATTTCCTTTTCCCCTCAATTTGAGCCAAATTAGTCTAAATTGCATCTGCAAACGTGCCAAAAACACAAAGTGTGCATTCTTTCCCATGGTTGAATTAGAATGGATGAGATAGGAACAAACAAAGCTATACATGTTGCATGGGTGTGCATAAACGACACAATAACGCTTTACAGCACAAAATCGTCATCAGAGTTTTGCCAACTGAGAATTTGCAATAACTGCCCGGGTACTTGTAAAGCCGAATTTACAAGGTTTATCTAACCGCTGAAGCCATAAACACATTAGTTGAGTTGCAGCATCATAAATAACCAACAGTTTGACCTTTAAGGTCACTGTCTGTCCTGACCTCAGCGTCATCAGGTTGTGTCTGGTCAATGGAGAAAAACCTGTGCTAGTGTTTAAGCAAGGATGAATCTTATTGAAAACACGTCCAGGTCACATGTCACCCTAAAATCAAAATTGAAAACACACACACACACACACACACACACATATATATATATATATAAAGAAAATGAAAGTTTTAAGGCCATTATATTATAAAATTATTTTGTTTTCATGATGATTATGAGTTTACACACAAATTCTCATCACTATGTGTCCAGATGTTTACCATTATATTTTAATAGATTTTTTTTTTACTGTAACAATAATACTGTATTACAGAAAAAAATGACTTTTTTGTTTAAGGAAAATCAGCATAATTTAAAGGCAGTCCACTTGATGTATAAATCCTTTATGATTTAAATAGAATGCCTTAATTGCATCAGTAATGTCAAAACAAAATAATCAAATGAAAACAATGTAATTGCAATAAAATAAAATAAAATAAAATAAAAATAGGCTGCATGTTATATAAGAACATTTCTTATTTCTTCTACTCATTTTTGACAGGTCTGGGATGCGTATCTACAGAAGAGAAACCACATGCCGTGGTGCTGGTCTGTGCCACGGGGGCCGGCTATTGTTCAGCATTTAACAGCAGCTTTGTCATCCTGTCAGCTGCATTTGTTACAGCAGAAAGGGAAGCTCTGAAAACATGCCACTCATAGACCCAAATCAAAGTTGAGTGTCCTCGCTGTGAGACCACAATGATACCCACACCAGACCAGAGACTCACTCAAAGCAACACTGACAACAAAGTCTGACTTTAGTCCTCTCTCTAAACTCTGAGCAGATCTAAAATGCAGATGCAGACAAACATTCACTATTAATGCACCAAATTGCTATCGTTTGGCAACTAGCATACAATTAGGCAAATTTAAGTCACATTTATTTCTATAGTGCTTTATACAATACAGATTGTTTCAAAGCTGCTTAACATTAAAAAACATGAAATGAACAGTGTTAATGTAGTAAAATTGATCAATTATAAAACAAATTCAATTTCAGCTGAAAAGCAGCTCTACAGAAGAGAACAGTATCATTATTCAACTCATTATTCATTATAATAACTGTCATGTGGCAAAGTTAATATATATATATATATATCAGTTCAATAACAGTGTCAATACAAATTCACAAAGAAAAAAGCAGAATCAATTATGGAAACTCAACTAAGGAGTACTGATTCTGCGGTAAAATATAACTTGACAACAATGTCAATATTCAGCTCAAGTCAGTTCAGTGTTGGATTAGTTTAGTTACAACAGCAGTTTGATTTACTTTCAGCATTGAGTCACATTCCAAAGCCAGGGGTTAATGTGGCTAAATTTCTCCTCAACATCACCACAGCAGTCCCGTGCTTTTCACAAATCTACAAGAGCTGCTTGACTGTTCTCGTCTCACTCCTACAGAACACACAAGTTCTGCAGTCTGAGCTTGACTTAAACACGTCTGCGAACACTTACTCTCTGTCTTCACGCAGAACAAGCAAACAAACCGTCTGAGGAGCACACACACGCAGCAAATGAGGTTAAAATTCCCCAGATATCTGAAGACATTCCCAGCGCCAGTGAGCCATGTCACCATCTCCTTACCTGAAACACAGCGGTGGCCATCCTCAATGGGTATGAATGCGTGTGTGTGTGTGTGTGTTTCAGCACCAGCGCCGCATTCTCCTCCAAGCAGAGAGATTGCGGGATTGTCCGGTCCAACTCGCAGGCAGCGCAGCGCACCTCTCTCAAACACACGCTATAATCCAGCCAGCAGGAGCAAGTGTGTAGATGTGTGCACAAACACGTTGACTTTCTTGGCTTCCTGAGAAAGGCTGAAATGTTGACTCACATTCCCTGTTCGCTCTAGCCAAAAAAAAGGATCATAAAAGATACTCACACTATATATGGCTATGGACTAAGAGAGGAGGTCAGATCCAGACGCAGCACCTACAAACTCAACGAGCGCACAGCACGGAAATCTAGGAAGTCTAGTTGCAGGCTACTGCCATTCCCCTTTCCCTCTCACTTTTTTGCCCTCCCTTTTTTGCTCTTTCTCTCACTCTCTCTCTCCCTTTTGCTCACTGTGAGCATGTATTGAACAGACAGGGAAAAAAAACCTTAGAAAAATATGCACAAGGTCCGAATTAACACTTGTCAAGCGCCAAATGCAAGAAAAATGGCTTTGGATAGTAAACAAGCAAAGTTATACATCAGAGGGCCAGTAACTTTATAAGGAATGGCAAAGACTTAAAAGTGCATTTATTAATAATATCTAGATTTATTAATTTATGTAATGTCTGAGATATATGTGTATGTGTGTGTGTGTGCGTGCGTGCGTGCGCGCACACATTCAAAATCATAAATTTTTAAAAAATCCTAAGTGATTTTAAAAAATAATAATATTCAACATAGAATTGTGAAAATAAATATTCCATTTCAAATTAAAAAAGAATGACAAAAATTTTTAAAGAATGTTTATTTTCATATATGCTGTGTGTATATACAGTATATATATATATATATATATATATATATATATATATATATATATATATATATATATATATACACACACACACATACACTTTAAAAAGTAATATTTAAATTTGTAAGTGAAATCTTCATAATCACAATGGAATAATAAATATTGTAAATATTATATTAACCAAACATAAAAAAAGTTAAAAAAAATAATGGATGGTAAATTGCTGGTTGAATCTCTTTGTACATGTTGTCTTTATGCCAAAATAAATTTAAAAATATATATTTTGATTAAAGACAATAAGCAAAATGTCCGAGCCATCACAGAAATGAGAATCCACCCAAACACAGCTGAAATTCCCAGCAAGTTCTGTGGGCTGGACTTGGTTTTGACAGACAAAAGCCTTTCAGGCTCCCCATCAGCCCACCCCTCTCCTCTCCTCTCCTCTCTCTCCTTCTCTAGTTGTTATCAAGTTCTCAGTTTACAGGCTTAACATGAGTTGATAAGCTCAAAGGCAGGCTAAATTACGCAGAACAACACCCAGCGTGAGCCATGTAGCTGTAAAGTGCCGATCTGAAGAACACCGCCGAGCCTGTATATGCAACACTAATGCTCTGACCAGAGGCGGACAGTAACTAAGTACATTTACTTGAGTATTGTACTTAAGTACACTTTTTGAGTATCTGTACTTTACTTGAGTATTATTTTTTCTGGGAACTTATGACTTTAACTTCACTACATTTGAAAGACAAATATTGTACTTTTCACGCCACTACATTTCTATCAGGGTCCTCGAAGTAGAAAGTTGTGACTATGTAGCAGCTTTGAAAGTCAGTGGGTGATTTTTTTTCTTCTCTAAAACGCGACTTTCTTTTTTTTCAGTCAGTTTATCAGTAATCACTCTTGCAGGGCTACATGAAGTGATTTCCCAGCATTTTTTGAACACTGACCAGCTGCTAATGTGATATTTATTTACAACAATTCAATAATAAGAAGTTAATATTGTGGTTTATATTAGACACAATATTGTCTGATTTTGCTAAATTGTGTACATGAAAAGATTACCTATAAAGTCACAGAAGAACTGTTGTGCGTCTCCTAATAAAATACAAAAGGTGTTGGACTTGAAGCAGCGCTGCAGACCGTTCTGTGTGTGACTTCTGTACTTTTACTTAAGTAAAAATCTGTCTATACAACTTTCACTTGTAATGGAGTAATATTTGACCAGCAGTATCTGTACTTTCACTCAAGTAATGGAGTTGAGTACTTTGTCCGCCTCTGGCTCTGACATATAAGGTCAAACAAATGACTTCAATCCCCTTTAAAACAGCCAGAGTGTTTGAGCTTCTGGAGCATGCTCACAGTCTGATGGATTACAGACAAAACACAACTACTTCAGATTTATACAACTGTTCCTGCGGAAATACCAGTGCTAGCAAAGTAGCAAATAGTAGTCCCTTTATCATGGTCATCACACTCACTGCTGGCTGTGCATGAGAATCAAATGATAACACAATTCTTCCTTTGCAGTAGATAGGCTATAAGGTTAAATAAAAGCAAGAGAGAAGAATTCAAACCTATTACTAAAGTTATTAACTTTTCAATTTCTCAGGGAAAATTCCCAAGTGTTTGGAAGTCGGCGATTGTTGTTCCAATATTCAAAAGTGGAGATCCCCTTTCTATTGATAATTATAGGCCAATTAGTATTTTACCCACTGTTTCTAAGGTTATGGAGAAATTAGTTGCAAAACTGATTAGCAGTTACTTGAGTAGTAGTTAATTTTCATTGCATCCAATGCAGTTTGGTTTTCGAGCAAAATATTCAACAGAAACCATAAATAGTTTTTTTTATAGAGAATATTAAATCTTTCTTAGATAAAGGTGGTGTAGTTGGAGACATGTTCCTTGATTTAAAGAAAGTCTTTGACACAGTTAATCATAGACTCCTTATGTCTAAGTTATCTTGTTTTAATTTCGCATTATATACACTTAACTGGATAGAGTCATATCTATCAGATAGATTTCAGTGTGTTAGAGTACAAAATCACCAATCCAATGATTTAGGTACATCAACTGGTGTTCCGCAAGGATCTATCTTGGGTCCACTGCTTTTTGCTATATATATATAAATGATTTTCATCTTGCATGTCCTGGCATTAATATACAAATGTATGCGGACGATACAGTAATTTATATACATGGTAATAGTCTAGCACAAGTTGCAAATTAACTCACGAATTCTATGGTTAATGTGTCAGCATGGCTAAAAGAGAATTGCTTACAACTAAATGTGTCCAAGACAGTGTGTATGTTTTTCTCTAAGTCTAACAGTATTATTAAAGAGCCGGATGTTTACGTGTCAGGGGTGAGGCTGCAGGTAGTGCCTCAATATAAATATCTGGGAATACTGATTGATTCTAAACTTACATTTAAAGCTCAAGTTAAAAAGGTTTGTAAGCAGGTTAAGTTTAATCTCTATCATTTTAAATTTATTTGAGATTATATGTTATTAGAGGCAGCTATGATATATATGTATTCTATGGTTATTTCTCACATGACTACTGTTTAACCACCTGGTCTCAGGCGAGTTCAGTGACTCTAAAACCATTAGAGTCCTTATACAGACGTACACTTAAAGTCTTCGATAAAAAATCGGTACATTATCATCATTGTCTAATACTGAAAAAATATAATTTGTTAAGTTGGGAAAACATGATTAAGTATGCAAATGTATGCTTGATGTATACAATTATTTATGGTTTATCTTCTCCCCCTCTTGGTCAGTTAGTTAGTATTAGAACAACTGATTATCGTTCTACAAGAGGTGCATTAAGAGGAGACTGTATCATAGCATTTAGACAAAGTCATTTTAGTCAGTCTGCTTTTTCTGTCAAAGCTGCACGAGAATGGAATACTATTCCGACACCTATAAGAGATCAGGACACATGTGCTTTATTTAGGGTTCAATTGAAGAACTGGTTAATTAGTACTCAGATTTGTCAACACTAGAATTTTATATTTGCTAGCTATCCTATTATTGATTGTATCTTGTTTGCATTGTCTGTATTTGATCCTATTGTTTTTTAATAGAATACTGTATGATTTGTACTATGCAATTACTAAATTTTCTAGTATGTATTTTAAATTAAATTTTATTTTAGGGTGACTTGTAACATCTTGTCCAGGGACTACGGATGTAAAATAGCCTTTGGCTAATTCTGGTACATTTACAGGAATGTTTTATTAATGTACAATGTCCCTGTCAACTAAATAAAGTAAAAAAAAATTGATTGGTCATGTTCTGAATGCTAAACATTCAAATCAAACCAAAAGAGAGATTTTCAAACTTCAATCTTAATTAATAAAATCTTCAAAACAAGTGTGAATGCAATATGCACAATTCAGTTGTTCAAACTTAATTAATTGCAGAAATTTTAAAACTTACAGTTAAAATAAACCCTAACGGAATGTCTGAGGAATATCAATGCATTGCGACCCTGCTATAAAAAAGGTCACTCAAACTTCTGAGGAAAACGGGCAGGTGATCATACAGGCTCAATAACAGCATGGAATTTAACACTGGCTTCAGTGCTGTTTGAGACCAGACAGAACCAAAGCAATTACTGAGAAGTTACTGACAGATGTAGTGCTGTAATCTTCTGCCCTCAGGATACAAACTTATTTTCAATTAACTACAACAGCACATTAGGGCTGAACAGTTTAAATGAAATAGTTGTATTAATTTATAAATAAATTAATCATTCATAAATGATGTTTATTTTTAAAAAAATATTCATATTTAAAAAAAAAAGCAGCTGACCACCAAAGCCAACAAATTGGTTTCTCAAAGGTTTATCTGAGCTCTGATGACCAGAGCAGATAACATTATCTGTTTTCACGAACAGCACAAAATTGAATAGAGTAACAAGCGTCTCTCTCTACGTTTCTGTCTTTGAAGTGGGACTGGAGTGAACATGCTCCTACGAAGACTCTTGAGTTTGAAGTACACTACAATGTGCTCTCTGTTGAATGCAGTCAGAGGGGTCCGTTCAGATTACACACTCTCCCCACACCTCTCACTGACAAACAGCCTTCACAACCACAGCCAAAACAACATGCATGCTAACTATTATTACCAGGGGGTCAGGGTTTAGCTGGTTGGCTTCTCTCCTGCTGGTAGATGTCATAACTACATCAGTATGTGGTCATAATAGCATCTTTCTCTATTGATGACCACTCCAAAAAGTAGTTGTACATTGTGAACAAATTTAATTTAATTTTTTTCTGAACACCATATTAAAAATACATTAATTAATTAATAATAAAATGAAATAAAAAATTAAATAATATAAAATAAAATAGTTATATTTTATATTATAGACAAATTTTACCCGTGACAGATTTTTCTGGAGGTTTAACATTATAGAAAGACAATTTA